TGCTCCAGCGGCGCGGCAGCAGCAGGAGGCCCCATTAGCTAAAGTGGTGCTTCAGGTTAAGAACAGTTTCAGGTTAAGAGCGGACCTCCGCAACGAATTAAGTACTTAACCTGAGGTACCACTGTATTTGTTAACAAACAAAAAACTGTACCATCTTGTTTTGTTGCCTTTGCAAAACTCGTATCTTCTCACACTTCCTATGACATTTATAGAGCAGATTTAGGCCAATGCCTAAAATGGAGAGAGATGGCTGAGAATTGTTTTTAGAGATTCCACTTTCATTCTTCATAAAGAAATGAAATTTTGAAACTGGTAACTAATCAGCTACTGATTGAGATAATTACTACTTTTGATCAGAGGTCAAAGAAGCATGATAACAATTGACTGAAAATGTTGCCATCATTGTTTAAGAATGCACATGTATCCCAGCAGTTTGAGCACTAGCAAAAAAAAAAAAAATGGTCAGAAGGAAGGAACTAATTTGGAGAACCATCATTACTTGAAAGGAAGTTGGAAAGCAACTATCACAGTAATTAACTGGAGAATACTTTTCTCACTATTTGACCTATATTTTGGTCCCATTGCAAGACTGTAACATGTTTTCCTGCTGGTTTTTGGGATTGGTGTATACACACACACACACACACACACACACACACACACTTAATGTTTTAGAATTGGAAGGTTCCCAATGAGAAAAACCACCTCTGGCTGAAAAAATGTTCTTCAGTAATGTTTTAGACTTTCCAGAAACTTGTTAACAAAACTATTAGGAACACTCATTGTAAATTTTGTGGGAGGCTCACAGATTGCACTGGTGTTTCAGTAAAACACACACATACTTAATTCATATTAAATGTGACTGTTGTGTTAGTCACAGAGACGAGCCAATTATGCATTTGCCATGGGAAACAGGGCTGGTGCTGACATTCAAGTCAAATTGTGAGTGCTTATCACACAGAGAGGACAAAACCACAAGCAGAATTTTATCGTATAGCATCTCAGAGTTTCATGTGCACCTTATGCAGTATCAAGAATGAAATCTGTCCAAGCAGGGAGTATCAAGAGCACTGCTTCCTTGAAGTTAGAGGTTGGGGATCGCTCTTATAGGTCTTTGATCTTCTGATTCATTGCTATACAAATTAAAAGCCTTTGGCTTCCAGCCCATGTCCAACTGTATTTGTCAGGCCACAAATGGCTCCTGATTTGAGCAGATGCTCTTTCATTTTCAAAATTCCTCTTGGCTCACCAGGGCCAACATTTATTATGCTTGCTCACTTGCGATCGCTTATCTCAGCGGTTCTCCTTCAAGGACTTGGTCGCTGATAAAGCTGTCACCTCAAACAATGCAGATTGTCTTGCCATCAAGAAGACAATTCACCTTTTCCTCGGCCACATCTATCCTATAAAATATTAGGACTTGGTTTCTTTAAAAATAGGCTGCAATATTAACCCTGCTTACCTGGGAGTAAGCCCCACTGAATTCAATAAGTAGAAATAATTAGAAATAACAGTAGAAATAACAGGCAGTCAGCATAGAGGACACCTCAAGGTATCACAGATCTGTTATTCCCCACATAGTTGAATGTCATTGATTCTTCCAAGATGGGAGTGTACAAGCTGTGACCCCCTGAGCTGAGTCAGCTTCACCTACTACATGACAGCCCATTTAAGCTTAATAAAACACGTTTTTGCTGCCTGACTTACACTAGGCAGGGGAAGGAACCCAATGTAGGGCTGGAGGGGGGAAAGGAGTTATAAATTATGCCAGGGGTTCCCAAACTGTGATTCACGGGCTATTAGTGGTCCAGGAGCTTAGCTCAGGTGGTCCATGGAATCTTTACATTAAATATTCATATTGATTTTTTTATTGCTTCTTAATGCATTTTATTGTATTAGAATTTGAATTCTATGGAACACAAATTGTAATACAAAAAAATAGAATATAAGAACTAACCAAATACACAATTACAAATAACACAGCATCTAGCACAGCACTTTATGATTGCTACAACAGGGAGAAAATCCATTAAGTGGTATGCTGAGACCATCAGCAATATTCAAGTGGTTTGTTGGAGAAAACACCTGGGAAACAGTGAACTATGCAAGTGTAGTCTAGGGCATGGGATACTGAGTGCTCGAAGCTCACATAACTAGTTAGTTAGCCTGCTAGAATGTTGGTGGTTGCCAGAATTAATATGATAGATGGCCTCTGCAAGCTAGGGATATTTATTCATTTTTCTATGAAAAGGCATGTGCTGCTGTTCTTTAAAAAAGCAAGCTTTAAGAAATAAAACACATAAAATATGACAATCACAGTAAAAGCATAAGGCAGGGACAATTAAAATGGAATAGTCATGCAGCACCAACCACAGAACTGAGAAATACTTTTTAATCTGTCAAACATTTCAAAAAGAGCAGGCTTTCCTTAAAAAAGAAGCAAACCCTGTCCTGGACTTAACCCAACTCTCTGCTGAAGATGTTTTCCTGCTGATCTTTATCCGGAATCTAAAGCTGCTCCCGTTAAGAGGAATCTTTCTGAAGGAACATATATTTAAAGTGACTGACAGCAAGGAACTCAAATATCTTTAATACTATGAGGAAGAGAGGTGGAACAGCAACAATTGGAAACACACCAAGTTCTGAGGGAGCAGATGTTTGCAGATATGTTATGAACTGCTTGATCCCATTTGGGTTTTCATTTTGATATAAGGAGGTGGAGGCATTGTATCATCTTGCCCTGTTGCTCATTATTTTGTTTATTATTGATTGATAGCCATCTTGATTCTGATGGAACCCTAAGGTGGTTGGCATAATAAATAAAATGGTTTGGCATAAACATGTACTGCTTTAACTTAATGGTTCCTCTACTTCAGCTGTTATCTTGATGCATGTGTTCTTGAATTCATGTAATGCTGCCTCCGATGGACAATACGAAAAGCTTTCAGCTGTGCATTTCCTGAGAAAAATAGACAAGAAAACACTAGTATAGGTTTTCACTATGCAATCACACTTTCTATAAAGTGGTGTCATCATTGCAGGACTTTGGGACAGAATTCCAGGCCTTCACCCAGCTTGATGGGCTCCACATGCAGCAGGGTAGATTTATCACATGTTAAAGCAAGTGAACTCTAGCTAGTGAGGATCCCCCATCAGACCATGAAGTCCCAATTTTCTGCACACAGAGAGATATGCACTGACCATCCATTCCCAGTAGATGGACCAGTCTACCATGTAGCAGAATCCCAAACTCTGCTCTTTTGTCCTAGGAGCAAGTTTGTGCTCGGAGTTGAGCTGTTCATCCGAATGCCTTAGATTTTTTCTAGAGTTGGAATGCTTTCATATAGCATCACTTGCTAAACGAGTCAACTCAGTAGTGCTCATTGACCCTCTTCTTATTATGATAATCACCCAATGACAAGGTGGAGTGATTTAGCTTTATCCTAGGCTATTATAATCTCCTAACCACGTCAGGGCGGGTGAATATGAAAGACTCATAAATAAACCACTGAAATAATGAAATGACCACAGAGAAAAATAATCTAATTTAAATAACAAAACCACAGCATATTGGGATGGGTGGGAGTAGTGGTTTTTTATCTGACGAACCTGTTGCACCCAGTTTCTGCTAGGGATCATGTTTATGCAGCCTCGTGAAAAATATAGGCTTTAGAATGGAAACAAAATAGAAAGGAGATAAAATGACAATACAATGTTTTCTTGGAGAAGGAGAGTATGTAGGTTTGTGAGCCTAAATTTGCCCCATCAAAGCTTAACCCCCAGCCTCTTAGGAGAGGCAACTCCCCCCTCCAAAAAAATTAAAAATAAATAAATCATTCTACAGGTTCCTAGATGCTAGGGCAAGATCTAGATAAAATCCGGTGCATGTTTACTCAGGTTCAATTGGGTTTACTCTCTAACAGTGGATTTAGAGAGCGCAGCCTTTAAGTAATCAGACATATCCAACATATACTATGGCTAGCCCTGGACAAACACCTGACATATAAAGAAAAAGTAATAAGATAGCTTTAGCTAAGCTGAGAAATTGCAGAAGTGTAGACCATCGTAACAGTTTAAACAATCTCTAAAGGATTACTATAAAGAAGAAGAAAACCACCATTTACCAGGGCGCCTGAGGAAGGAAATAAGGATTACTGTACGTACATAGGACCACATGTCCAAACTTATTCCTATAGTCAGACATTTCTTGAATAACAAGGCATTATTCTTAACTGTTCAGTGTAATCCTGAGCAGCTGGCTACATTAGAAATCTCTTGAGTTGCAGGTGTGAGAGTAGCCGGGTTATCACCAACGACTGAATTCAAGTTGCCACAGAGCAGATTAAAGTCCGAGATCAGCCTCCAAAAAGAGATGGCTAATAGAACAAATTGCCCAAGGAAGTTGTGGACTTCATGGATATTCTTAAGAATAATGTAAAGCGCCGCTGTCTTGACCACTTTAACACTTTGTGGCTGTGGGAAATCTGGAAGTCCACATGGACACTTTTTGCTGTAGTCACCTGCCCTGAATGTAGGGAATTCTACCATTGCAAGGATTAAGTGGCCAGCTCTATGATTAAGTGTTTGCAAATAGCTGTTGTTGTTATTTTTCAAATGAAGGCTAAGACTGTCACTTTAAAACCAAAATGGGGTGAAAGCGTACAGATCTGTAAATCTTGAGAAATATTTTGTGTCATTTACAGTAAATAATTTGGGCACTAAATTAGATGGGGGTTTAAAACATTCGATGCAAATATAGCAAGGTTGAGATGCGTGGTTTTATGGGTTACACCAAAATCCTATACCTACTTACATGGAAATAAGCCCCATGAAACTCATTGGCACTTACTTCTGAATGGACATTGTTAGGACTGCACTGTTAGTTTCATTCTTATTTATTATATTTCTTAGTAGCTTTATACAAAAAAAGCAACTTAATAATACAAAATGCAACCCAATAAAATAAGCTGAAACCTGCCACCATCATTTTATTTCTCCACTTTCCGACTGACTCCACCGGGAACCAGGATAGGGAGCGAAAGCGGAGTAGCCGCCCCCCATGTAGACGCGCCACCGGATTCAGAGTCCGGATTGAGTTTTTTGGGTTGGAAAAATGGGGGAAATGGGGCAAAACCGGAGTGACTCCAGACTGACTCCACCGGGAACCAGGAGCGGGAGCGAAAGCGGAGTAGCCGCCCCCCGTGTAGACGCGCCGATTCAGAGTCCGGTTAGGTCGACGATGGCCTTGATGAAGAGGGTGTCGTCCCGGATGTAGGAGTCCCGGGCGGCCATCTTGGAAAGGGGGCAGAAAAGGGGGCAGCCGCTGGCCACGTTCAGCGCGCCAATTGGACGCAGGAAAGAGGAGGAGGTCATGTCCGGACGGAAGGCATCGATCACGTGCTCCCGGTGGTCCTGGTCCAGGAGCATCAGGGTGACCTTCTGGTTGAAGGGCCACTTCAGGAGGGCGTCATTGGGCCCCTTCATGAGGACGAAGAAGAGGGAGAGGTGGGTGTTGCGCCCGGATCCATCGCCGTTGAGGTAGAGGCGGAGGCACATCTTGTAGCCATAGCGGCTGGTGTAGAAGGCCGACGAGAAGATGGCCGACGCCCGGCCGGCCACCGCTTCCTGCCTCTTCCACCCCACTTCCTCCACCTTCCAGATCAAGACGCCGTCGTAGGTCGCCTCTTCCGCGCGCCGAAGCGCCGACTCCACTTCCGCCAGACCCGCCTCCTTCAGCGCCAGGTTCCTCTCCAGGCTCCGGATCTTGTGGGTCAGCGCTTCGGTGCGCTCCTCTTCCCGGCGCCGCTCTTGCGCCGATTCGGCCGCCAGCCGCTCCACTTCCCGGTTGAGGACGCAGACGATCTTCTCTAGGGTGGCGGTCTTGAGTTCGAGGGCCGCCCAGGGCTGGGGAGCCGGGGGCCCGAGGAAATGGGGGTCTGGGGCGGATCGGGGGCCCCCAATTGGATGGGGGTCTTGGGACAAATTTGGGGCCCAAGAAAATGGGGGTCTGGGGCTGAATTGGGGCCCCTGATTGGATGGGGGTCTTGGGCCGAATGTGGGGCCCCAAATAAATGGGGGTCTTGGGGTGAATGGGGTTCCCTGGCTGAATCGGGGCCCCTGATTGGATGGGGGTCTTGGGACGAATCGGGGCCCCCAATTGGATGGGGGTCTTGTGCCAAATTGGGGCCCCTGAGGAAAGGGGGGTGTGCTGGTCCCGGGGGGGGAGGTACTATTACCGTAGCCAAAGTTCAGTCCTGAGTCACTAGCCGGGTAGACGTTCACAAGATGAGACGCGAGGTCCGAAACAGGGAGCCGGGTGGGGAACAGGAACGCTGGTAGGGCAGAAGCAGGAAGCCAGGCGGGGAACAGGAACACTGGAAGGTCAGAAGCAGGAAGCCGGGCGAGGAACAGGAACACTGGAGAGTCAGAAGCAGGAAGCCGGGCGAGGAACAGGAACACCGGAGAGTCAGAAGCAGGAAGCCGGGCGAGGAACAGGAACACCGGAGAGTCAGAAGCAGGAAGCCGGGCGAGGAACAGGAACACCGGAGGGTCAGAAGCAGGAAGCCGGGCGAGGGACAGGCACACTGGAAGTGCTGATCTAGGTCTGGGTAAGAGCAGGTACTCCACAACGACGTTGCTCCCGCAACCTGGGACCGGGCTGACTGACCTTTATCATTTCTAAGGCCAGGGGCGGTCCCGGCCCCCAGGAGCCCCGCCTCTCCTGGCCTTAAGGCGAGCACTCCTCCTGGGAGAAACCAGTTCCCTTCGCCTCTCTGCCCTAAGCCTCTGCAGTTCAGGAGAGGCCGAAGGGTTACTGGGCCCAGGGTGAGGCTCACCTGTAGACACTGAGTCCTCAAGCACCTCTGGGGCCAGAGTGGTTTCACCTGGTGCCTGCTCCTGAGGATCTGGCACAGGTGCAGGCTCCTCAGAATCTAGGCCTTGCCCCAGTTCAGCCGGCCCTGGAGGTGGGGACTCCTGTGCCGGCTGAGATTCCTCCCGTTCACTCTCAGAATCGGAATCCCAGGCCATCACAGGGGGTCTTTAGCCAAATTGGGGGCCCCAACCAGATGGGGGGTCTTGGGCTGAATTGGGGGCCCCCAATAAATGGGGGGTCTCTGACCAAATGGGGGGCCAAATTGGGGGCCCTGGTCAGACGGGGCTCTTGGACCAGATCTGGGCCTCCGAAGAAATGGGGGTCCGGGACCAAAGGGGGTCTTTGGCCGAATGGGGGCCCCCGAATAAGTGGGGCTCTTGGACCAATTGGGGGTCTTGGACCAGATCGGGGGCCCCGAAGAAACGGGGCTCTGGGGCCGAATGGGGCCCCCCGAAGAAATGGGGGTCTTTAGCCCCCAGCCGGAGGGCGAAGTTCAGGAGTAGGCCGAGATGTTCCGGAAAGTTCTGGGCCTCATGGAGGGGCAGGGCCTCCTTCTCCAGCACCTCGCCGCAGCCGGCGGGCCGGAAGCGGCACGGCGCCCGGAACCTTCCGCAGCTCCGAACGTGATCGGCAAACTCATACTCCTTGACGGTACCTTTCCAGGGACAGTCCCTGTGGGCGCAGGCGGCCGGGAGGCTTTCCACCTCGCGCCGGGCGGCGTTATCGGGGAAAGCCGTGGCGCTGTCCAAGACGGAGACGCCCTCTTCGTACAGCCCTTCCCGGAGGCAGGCGGCGCAGGGCAGGGGCCCCGAGCCCACCAGCTTCTTCAGGCAGTAGGCGCAGTAGCGGTGGCCGCACTGGGCCTGGAAGGGGCGGCGCAGCAGATCCTCGCACTCGGAGCACAGGTACTTGCCTTGCACCTCGGCCCTCAGGATGGCCTTGGGGAAGCCGGGCGGGGTGCAGGATCCGGAGGCTGCCATGGGGGGCAGGATCCGGGGGCGCCCGCGCCGCTCCTCCGCCCTCTCTCCGCTCGCCCGGAAGCATTTTATTTCAATTCTGCCATATTTTGTTTTCATCCTAAACCCTGTATCTTTCATGAGGCTGCATAATCCCTTATGGCAATAAATATATAAAAAAGCAAAACCAAAACAAAACGCCATAATCCACAGCAGAAAGAGGGTACAGCCATAAATTTGTCAGAAAGGATACCTGGTTGCTTCAGGTAAATTTAATCTTCAATATTCCTGCAACTTTTAGAGCTGCTTTTATCCACATCATTGTATTTGTGCCACGAAAGATCATATGCAGTGGTTAAAAAATATACAAAAGTCCAGAGGCTGGATTCAAGTAACTGGTCCAACTAGCAGAAACTTATGCAAGGACTTCTGCTAATGCAATAGGGATTTCTCCCCTTTCATCTTCCCATGTACCCCCCAGCACCCAATCAGCTCTGAAGGGGTTGGGAGAACTGTAAAACAAATGTGGAGAGGAGAAGGGGGTTGTTCTGTAAAGCAAGTGGAGGTGATTCTGCCGATGAAACATTTGTAACAACTTCTCAGGTCACCTAATGTTCCTATCGGACAGCCATAGTTAAGTAATTTGTTCATTTATTATTAACTGAATTTATATAGCCATCCCATAACACAAATTCTCTGGGTGGTTCAAAATAAATACAACAGTTGAAAAGCTATCACAATAAAAGCTGTTACAAACAAAAGCACTTTAAAAAGAAAAGAAAAGATGAACATATTTTAAAATGGGCAGAACAATCCTAAACTCTAGATTCACTGACTGAAAGGGATTAGGACTGGAGAGAGGCATATCTCTGCCTGCTGACAGGAACTCCACTGGTGGAAAGGCTGAATCTGGCACAGAGCACCCGTCTAAGCTCACAGAAAACTCTTGGGGCAAATACGGTCTGCTGTTGGGGTTCCCACTGGCTCCAGCTAGTGCTAGACACAAAAGGAGGTGTTATAAGGACAGGGCAAAGGCAAGGCAGGGATTCAGCGGCTTTGGATCCAGTGGAGAGTCCCCAGGATTGGATGCCCAATCCACACCATCCTGGAGTCAGTGAAAAAAAAATGCACTGGAACAAAAGTTAGGTAAGTCCCCAACCCCCTCAGCTAGTGCAGAAGCCAGGATGACTTGGGAAGTGGGAACCAATCCACTTGGCACCCTGCAAATACCCCTTAGGATCCCACTGTAAGAGGATCAGGCCATATGACATAAGGTAGTTAAAAGGTCTAGGTGGACCAAATGGTCTTCATCTGAAAATATTTTATTTATTAACTGAATTTATATAGTCTATGGTTTAGATATGTTTTGCAAATGTAGTTGGGGAGACAATGATCTAAGGCAGGGGTTAGCAAACCTTTTCAGCAGGGGGCCGGTCCACTGTCCCTCAGACCTTCTGGGGGGGGGGGGCGACTATATTTTGAAGGCCAAAAAAAAAAAAAATGAACAAATTTCTATGCCCCACAAATAACCCAGAGATGCATTTTAAATAAAAGGACACATTCTACTCATGTAAAAACACGCTGATTCCCGGGCTGGATTGAGAAGGCAATTGGGCCAGATCCGGCCCCCAGGCTTTAGTTTGCCTACCCATGATCTAAGGATTTTAATTCAGGATAGAATAGTCAAGGCCCCAAATATTCGGTAAAGGTGATGTGATAATTTGTGGGTCAGCAACAAGATCCTTAGGGTTTAGACACCTGCTGGGGTGCCTAAATTTCACCAATTTCCATTTCCAATGGGGATAATGAAACTATGGATAAAAACATGTTGGAAAGGTTTTAAAATGTGCATCCAGGAATGGATGAATGTGCATGTATGTCGGAATTAGATGTAGACTCATTAAGAAGATGCAGATTTCTCCAGCCTGTATGTTCTTGGCATTTAGGAAGATTTGTTTGTTTGTATTAACTCTGTGTGGTTGTTGAGACCTCTCTGTTTCCTGAAATTCAGATACAGTGAGCAAAGGGTGCACTCTCTGAACTCAGCTGCAAACGAGTATTTTTGAAAGTGCTCCTGATTCATCAGAATTTTAAAGCCGTTAATCATAAACCTGATATTTGCATATTAATACCACTGTACTTTGTGTTGATATTAGAGATAGGATGAACTGGTTCCAAAGTATTTGCCTGTGGTAGCTGTAGACAAAGGTGTATTCACAAGCATGCAGAGGGCTGAACAATTCAGAGTCCAAAGGTACTGAGCGAAAAATGAAAGCGAGCGACAGGCAGGTATGTCTGCGATAAATACAAAGAAGGAGGTTATTGATTTGCAGGTGCTTGAATCCTCTGCATTTTAAATTTTTTTGAACACACCCATTTGTATGTAAAGGTAAAAAACCCCTCAAACCTCTTTTACATTGTAACCACTATGCAGCCGCACCAAAAATTGAAGATCTTAAGCAGACAGAAGGCAGGATGAATTTGTTTGTAGTCTCTGTCACTTTTACCTGCAGACATCCATCATATGTCAGGATCTTCTCTGTGATGGTCTCTGGAATGGTCTCGCCCTAGAAGTAAGGCATGCACCAACCGTGATGCAGTTCCAGCGCATGCTGAAAACTTTTCCTTTTCTTTTTACCATGGCTTTTACAGGTTACTGATACCAGCTGTTATGGGATTTTAAGGATATTTAAAATTCCTGATTTTTAATCCCCCCCCCATGTTTTAGAGTTTTTGATTGTATTTATATCATATTTTGTGCAAGTGTCATACACCACCTTGAGATGTCTGCACAACAATCAGTATATAAATATTTACACCAATAAAGTTGTGGCCTAATCTTGCCCAATAACCATTAACCTAATATCGACACGCAAATATTTACACAAATAAATGTTTCTTTTCCTTCAATTCTATTCCCTTTCCACAAAATTTTGCAAATTTAAATGCCTATTGTGGCAGCGCCAGTGCAACTGCCCAGCCCCAACCTTGCTGCCACCCAGTGCTGCTAGTGTCTGGAAGGTGCCCCTTTACCAGGGTACCCTGAGATATCATACCTGATCAAGGAAGTGATGCACCATCACTCACCCCCCCCCTCAATCTGGAAGTAAACAAAGCATTCAGCCCAATACCTTATCTACCACACAAGCTGCCACTACCTCACTGGCTCACCTACAGCTGCAACCAATTCCGCAGACCCCATTATACATCTAGCAACCAAGCCTCCTTGCCAGCAGATGATAAATGCACACCATCTGGTTGATATCAGTCCAAACGTAATGCCAAATGTAATGCCTGCGTGCCACATGACCCTACCACCCAGACACGCCACTGCATACCGCATAGCCTGGTCCACTTTCCATAGGACATGACCGATACACGCTGGTTCCCTTGCACCATGCCAGTGCTGCTGCTACAGAGCCCCTCCCAATTATGGTTAAGCATGGGTGCATTGCCTGCAAGGAGTCAAAGTCAGAAGCCACTGCCAGGATAAGATCAATGCATACACAGACTCCTCATGCTGATGCTGAATGTCTGGTCACTGTGTGTGTGTGGCTGGCATGTATCACTATCCGGGGGGCATGGCTTGCAGGCACAACCCCACTTTTCTTCACCCTATTGATGAACGTCCTGGGGAGTCTTCTGTGAACAACCCCACTGTTTGTGCCTTAATGCTGACCAATGAGAATGCACATTTGGAGGGGCATGGCAATAAATAGGACAACAGCATCTATGTGCTCATTACGTACAAAATAAGTGAACCATATTAAATTGGAATCTTGCGGCATATTTCTCAATCACCATTTGTGCCCCCTCCAATATTTAGTACAGGAAGAAGAGCGTAAACCGTTCGTCTCCATGTTCATATTTTTCTTCTTTCCACAATCATCATCATTCTGTCAAAGGTAGTTAGATGCTAATACTGTATAGTGCCTGTGCAAGTTGTTTGTACTTAATTGATGATATTTACTGGCACAGGTGAGTCACAATATTGTAACTATATGGCATGATGTATGCATATGAAGAAATCTTGTGTATTTTTGACCTACTTCTGGAAGCAGAGCTGGTTTGAATTGCATACCATCATGTGAAACTCACAGGTGGAATCTACTGGCGCTGAGGTCAACACTGGTCTTTCCTGCAGCAGACACAACACATAGTACTTACCTGAGCAACCCAGTAGAGGCTCAAAAGTAGAATCAGCCTACCTATGGGATGCATCTGGCTTATTTGTTCTAACAGAACTGCACCTTGGCCTAATGACAGCAGTCAAACATCTCTGCTGCTGTTGCCATTTCCAGTTGCTCCAACTGTCCTTAATCTACCCACTGCACCTAGTCAATTTCCTTGCCTGCAGTTCAGATTCAGGTAGCTAGCTGTGTTGGTCTGACGCAGTAGAAATAAATAAATAAAATGTCCAGAAGCACCTTAGAGACCAACTAAGTTTGTTCTGGGTATAATCTTCCGTGTGCATGCATGAAATCTGAAGAAGTATCTGAAGAAGTGTGCATGCACACAAAAGCTTATACCCAGAACAAACTTAGCTGGACTCTAAGGTGCTACTGGACCATTTTTTAAAATTTATCTTGCCTGCAATGTTGCGTTTCATAGCAACCAGAGAAGATATGCTCCTCCATGTCCTTCATAGCCACCTAGTTGGGATTGGAGGAATGGTCACTGAGGGGAAGGAAAAAAATGATACAGACCTGGACCCATGTCAAGAGCTACACTCTGAATAATAAGTTTTGTTTTGTTTTAATTTTGAATAAAAAAGTTATTTTAAAAAAAGAGTTACACTAATGTTTTACAACCGTGATTTATGGCATTGTGTCACATATTACAATCCTTTGTGAGAACTGGTGTATCTCAGTATAAGAAACTGAGCAGCAGTCCTGGATCAGATATTGCATCCACCTTGAATAGATATTGATCCACTTGGATCAGATATTGCATCCACTCCCTAGGTTGCCTTAAGCAAGTTAGTGCCTCACAACCTCCTATAATCAGGACTGGTTTTGTTTGGCATAGTCTCCCCCTCTGCAGCATGAACTCTTCCCCTTCCCTCGACAGCAACAGCTGACAGGTGTGCAGCACGATAGTTTTCTTCCACTGCTGTAGCTGAAGTGATGGTAGCAGTAGAAGCAAAAGGCCACTATAGCTGTCAAAGTATGATGGTAGCAGTGCTGGCTGAAGGGGGAAATGGTGGCTATTCAGCCCTGAGAGGAGTGTCAGGCCCAGATAACTGTAGCCACCATTTTGGGTTGTCAACAGGGTCAGTGGTGGGCTCTCAGCAGTTGTTTGATAGGGCTGACCTCTGATGTAGAGTCTGCTAACAAGTATTGGTAAAGATACAATAAATGACAACATAATCTGCTCAAGCAATATATGCTAGTGGTGTATTCTTGACATGCAGCTGCTGGAAATTTGGTCGGCCCTGGTGCATGATCCCTTTGTTGGCTAGGCTGAGACAGCAACTTGTCCAAGGTCACCTGGTGAACTTTATGGCTGGTCAGTAGGGATGGGGAAGAAATTTTATTGACGTTGCATTCAAAGGTAAACTTAGAAATATGTGTATGCTGATGAATTTTCATATGGACTTGAATTTTAAAAAAAACCCAGGTTGATGTGGAAATATGGAGAACTGAACTTACAAATGGAAAAAATGGTAACTGAGAGTAACCAAAACTGACAGATTTTCCCAAGCCTACTTGTCAGAGATGTGAACCCAAGACTTCCTTGCCAAAGTCCAACATCCTAACACCGTACCACCCTTTGACAAATCACTATTCTTTGACCATCAGCTGATACAAATAAAACAAATGTCATGCTTATTTTGGGAGTATATAGCTGTACAGCGGTTTGCATTTTGGGACATATCTTGGGGATATGTATGGGTATAGACTCTGGGTATGTGGCTATGGAGGCTGCACTGATTAGCACTTCAAATTTTATGACAACACCACTGAGAAAACCAGACCAAAACATGTTCATAGCAGCCTTGAACCACAACCAGCTGCACTCTTATGCATGCAGTACTTGGAGTTCTATGTACGCTACTCCCACCATGCTTTAGCTGAGACCACAACAGCATGGAGAGTAGGTAACAAATCAATAACATTCCAGGGATTTTAAGTTCTGAAAGCAAACGTGAATTACATTCGTGAATAGAATTGAGGAGTCCAGATTTGTAGACTAGATCTTCCACCCAGTGGAGTCTAGTTTCCAGCCTCATGGGTAGATTATTGGTCAACAATGGAAAAGTTGTGTTTGGTGTCTCTGTGACAACTGAGCTACACTTTCTAATAGGGAAGCTCTTAACTCTTTTTATACTGTGATGAGGCTATTCATTTACATAGACCTGACAACAGAATTTAGCATCTCTGTCTGCAGGCATGTGCAAAGGTGCAAAATTGTGCTACACCAGCCCTCTCCTTTTGACTAAATGCAAAACTAAGCCCCCCTCCAATACCCACTGTGGCTGTTCGCTCTTAACAGTTTATATCCAACCACCAGCCATTTTTCTGAATGTGTCAGTCCCATCTATCTCTGATACTCTGTTCCTCATCCTAGTCAGGTTAAAGAGGTGCAGGAATTAAAGCTACAGTTTGCTCACACATGGTTTCCTTCACCTGGAGCCAGTTGGCACTGCATTCTTCTGTACAAAGTCTAAAGCGCAGCTACTTCTAAATCCATTTGAAGAGTCCAAATTGCGTGGAGCTTCTCATGGACCCAGTGCGGCATGGCCAGGGCTTGGCAAAGCAATGTACAAACTGGCTCTGTTCTGAGCAGATAGCAGAGGCTGGGTAGAATCTGAAAAGCACCATGGACACCGACACAAGTCTGACACTCTGGCTGCCCCTTTGTGCATTGATTGCCACATCCACAGTCACTCCTTGTGCAGGTATGCAGTTTTCGGTTTGTGCCAAGTTTTTGTTTTGTTCTGTTTTCTACCCTGCCTTTGTGGTGTGTGCACACAGAAATAATATGGGGAAAGGGAAGGCACAGAGACAAACTCTCGAATATATGACTTAGTTCAATGAGGGTAAGTGAACACCAGGGAGGGTATGTAAATGAATAGCCTCATCACAGTATAAAAAGAGTTAAGAGCTTCACACCAGGGAGGTGTGAGCTTGCAGTCAATGCAAATCTATTCCATACTGTTCGTTTTCTGGTTATTTCCCCCACCCACCCCCAAGCCGGTTTGAGCTGTCAGAAATGATGGCCACGTTTCTGGAGTTTGCTTTTCTTTCTTCAGGTTATATTAACTGCCTGAAATAACTTGTCCTTAGCAAAAATAAAATAAAATAAATGGGATCGTCTTAAACACACACACACACACACACACACACACACACACGAAACCAATGCCTCATCCATTCACAGGGCTCTTTCTCTTTTGTTCTTGGGACAGAAGTGTAACCTGGTTAGACTTGTTTTGTTTGTGCGGGAAGGTGTGAGTTGGCTGGCTGTATGCAAATGTTTGCAATCCCTGTGGGGTTTTTTAAAGTTTTATTTTAGACGATCCAATCAGAATAACAGGAAGTGACCTAAGGAATTCCACAATTGGCCAGCTAAACATTCTAAAATATGTTTTAAAATTCATATCACAAGCATCTGCCTTCACTCCTGCGAGGCTTTTTGAAGTGATAGCCTGCCACCTATGTGTACCTAACATCTGGCATAACATCTGATCAGTCTTTTCGCTGCTGCAGCTAAAGGATTTCCCCAACAGAACCAGGAGCTAAATGAGGTAAGGGCTTTGAACGGCTTGCTGCTCAGCTCCTTTTAAACAAAAAACTCTGCCACTAGGGATAAAATCTAGAGGTGCACAAGTATGAACTAATCTCTGGCATAACGATGATGTTCCAACCCTTGCTTTGAAAAATGCAACTAAAATGTTTTGATCAAAGGGTGTTGAAAAGCTCTCATTAAGAGATTTTGGCTACACACGGGCAGCTCAAATCCCATTAAAATAAATGGGTTTAAAATATCCTAATGACGTGCAGGGTTCATTGGCTCAACCAGCAGGACAGTGGGGATTTTGTTTTTGTTTAAAGTTGTTCCACTAGTGTTGCTGCTGCTGCTGCTACTACTAATATCTCCTGCCTTTAGTTACAATGATTATTGTGCTATTAGCCCTGATTTAGTAAGGTAAAGTAGGCTAATGTTCAGATGAAATGTAAACAATTCTATATGTTTTCAAGTATATGTTAATTTAGGACCGGGCACCCCAATTGTGGGTATGCCAGCTTCTGTATACTGAGTTGCTCCTAATTTCTCAAGGGTTTCAAATTATATTTGTGGGTTAGCATTGAAGTATGGACATTGTAATCAGGCCTGCTGAATATAACATTTTTGCTGATCATCCACAAATATATTGATTGCCTGTCTGGTGAAGGAGATGATGTAATGTTCTCACAAAACCACTGGTCTGCTTCAACTGGGCTTCTGGGTCCAGTTTCCAGATTGTTCCCTATCACCCAATTGCCATTATAACCAGGGCTACTAATAATTTCGTATCATGAAATTGTCTCACTCCTATGCTGTGTTGATCGACAATAAATTTACACAAGGTTTCACAACGATCTTGGTCAGTTATTATTCATTTCTTAAGCCAAATTCCACTTCTTCAGTGGCAGGTCCCCATGTTGAATCCATGCTCTTATAGTAATAGGTTAACATTCTTTGGGTATCTGAATATAAGAATAGCGTATAAACAAAGTTATGTCCTTCAGAATTTTCATCTGGCTGTATTGGTGTGTTCCTTTCCATTGGCTTTCATTGACATTTAGTTTGAATAACCATGAATCAACCACGGTAGTGCTATTTAAAATATTATTTTCTACTTGCAATTCTGTAATGGCAAACTGCACAAATTGAGGTACATATTATGTATGCTGAATAGGCACTTTAACTTGTTCAGTAACTCCTCAGTCATATACGTGCAGTTTAAAAAAAATGCTTGATTAATCTAGAATACATTGTTTGGTGTACCAAAGAGAAAACCTGAGTACATAAAATTAAGATATAACTAACTGGCCAATATTTTAACCTAACCCTTTCTTTCTATTAACCACAATGGTGCTGGTGGTTAAGAAGTGTTTTATGTCAAGTGGTATAATGAAAGATATGCAGGCTTCTTGTTATAGAAATAAATAAATGCAAAAGAGTAAAATAGCTTCAGCTGTGATATGCTTTTCTTGGGGGGGGGATCAACACAAAAACATAAGGTGTGCAGATACAAAGTGGAAAACAAAGATTAAAACTGAAGCAGTTAGTCACTCTTTTTTATCCGGTAGAAGATGTTCTATTTCCCATTCTCTTTTTGTTCTTCTTTTGACCAGCAGCAAATGCAAATTTGGCTGTGATTGTGTGAACACTTATCTAGAAGTAAGTCTTATCTAATATAGTGAAGTTAATTACTGAGTTAATTAATAGGATGGTGGAGTAAACATAAATAAGGTTGTAATCCTAAACATGCTTACAAAGGCTTAAGCTTGACTGAACACAGTTTTACTTCCAAATAAACATGCATGGATTTGCACTGTAAGCCAAACCACAGGCTTCTTTCTTTCTTTCTTTCTTTCTTTCTTTCTTTCTTTTTCTTTCTTTCTTTCCCTATCCTTCTTCCAATCTCAGGGTAGCATAACTGGTTCCCCCATTTTATTTTCACTTGGATAGTCATTTATTTTTAAAAAAGGAAAAAACTGTTTTCACTGAAAATGGTCAATTAGTTTAGAATTTCAACATAACTGCACAAACCCAATAACCTTCTTTATAATAAAGTTGACACATTTGTTAAGTAGTATTGCACAGACACACAGTTACTTCCCGCAAAGTCTTAAATTGATCACAAAGGAAGACTGATGGAGTACTGTGAAGAAAAAGCAAAGAAAGGGATTACAAGGAAATAGGAGATCACGTTGTGTATGAAAAATTGCTGTGACATATGGTCTATTAATCCTGGAAAACACAATTCCCCAATATGCCCAATGATCATGCACCATCAGAGGAAATAAGCATAACATACCCTCCAATGTCCCTCAGAAAATAGGGACATTCTACTACAAAATATAATCATCAGAACACTGTGGACTTTTCTAATAGTATTTGTTTAAAAGTCAGATTGTGAACAACTAGAGACAGGAGTCTAGGGAGACATCTATGAAATCTAACTTGTCTCCAGCAAGGAGAAATATATTTCAATCAGCTGGTTGTTATGGTATTCACCCCACTCACTCCCGGCAACCAGAATTGCTGGCGAAAGGGGCTTATATGGGGTGGTAAAGGCCCACATGATTTGCCCTGCCTTCATAATTGCAATTTTCGCTCAAGCACTGCGAATTCACACCATGGAGAAGCCGTTCCCAAGCCACTGGGGGTGTGTTTGTGTGTGTAGAGGTTGTCAAGTGAGGGTATGCAGAGAGGTCTTCTTGGCAACTGCTCCCCAGCTTTGGAATTTACTTTTTCCTCAAGTTCATCAAAACCTGGAATGAAGGCCACAAATTAGCAAGCTTTTAGTCGCCTCTGATATGTTTGGCACTATGTTATTGCAATTCTCCTCCATTTCCCAAGTATTACAGGTAGGGAGGCTAAGTTATGTTGAGATAGCGACACCTGAGACCACTCAGTCATCTTCATAGCTGAGCAAGAACGTGAGTTTGGCCTTTCCATATCCAGATGCAACATTAGGCCTTGTGAACTCAACTTGTCTGTTTTTGAGGAGAGGGTGAATTAAAAGGGCTTTAGGCTGCAACCTATAAAGTAAATCCAAGTGATCTCAGGGGGATTTTTTTGGTATGCACTCTTAGGATTGCTCTTGCATACAGCCAGGATCTTAAGACCTTTGGAAACAAATGTGACATAATTGTACAAAGCTAGGTTTTAATGCAGCATGGGTAGAGGCCATTGAGGACTAAGCTGCCTAAGCCATGAAGCATCGGACATTTTTTAAGGATCAATTTTCATGAGGGAAAGGAGGTGAATTCGAAAGGGCACTATTATGTCTTGCAAAGAGGCACTTTTAACATACATTTTAAAAACACACATGTATTTCAATAATGAAATGTTGTGATGCATGTATTATAATACCCAATCATCAGAACTGGGGTTTTTTTTTCTAGAAAAAGAGGTGCTGGAACTCACCTCTTGTTCTCTTATAATGGCAATGGCATCCACCTGAGGTGCCGGAACTGAGTTCCAGTGAGTTCCAGCTGGGGAAAAAGCCCCGCAAATGATGATATTGCAGAAAATTTAGCACTACTCTAAAATGTGTACAATTCTGAAATAATTTTTATCACAAAAAATAATGCTGGCATAAATCTTGAATAGACTTACACACTTGTAAATTAAATATAGCTTATTTTCTGACCTATTTTCTGGGGTCTGTAAATTTATCAGCAGAAATGGCTCCCACTCTTTCTGGGGGCCATATTTCTGCTTGCTTCTGCTTGTTTTCTCTCCTGCATTCAGCTGACTACTCTGTTGACCTCTGCAAACGTGTGTGTGTGTGTGTGCGCGCACACACACACCAGCGGACAGGGGACAAAATTTGTAAAGTAGTGATAGCAATGAATTTGAAACATAACTAGTTTAAGACTTCACCTGTGGTGCCGAAACATGTATATAAGCTGTCCCATGCCTATTTTTGGAGATGTGGTGCAGATTACTTGTACAGGATATAGAGGATATAGAAAAAAAACAAGGTTGTTGGAGGCAAATTTTGGGCTACATTACTGGATATGAAATACTGAGAAAACCAATAAATATTATTTTGAATTGTTTTGAAGGATATGTGGATGATGTGTGAATGGCCAGCAACCCCCTGACTGTGGAGGGGTGGTGAAACTATCTGCTCCTCCTGCTCCTCAACATTATAAAGTTTTGTTGGATACAGCAATAACACAGTATGTCTGAGCAAAAGATAATGTGATTGAGAACAAATGGGTTGAGAAATGAGCATTTTTCATCTCTTTTTGGTGGTGATGTTAAACCATATTCTTTGCTTTCCTTGGTTTGAAGGTGCATTGTATTAATTAATTGGGAAATGATTTATTGTAATGGTTAAAAAAACCAGCCTTTTTCTTTTTTTAAAAGAAAATGTCATCATGAACTAAGGAACTCTGAGATGTGTTGTGCTTAAGATACCATATCGGGAAGGAGCACTACTTTTTGTCTTTCAAGCAATAACGCCTAGAGTTTCAATAAAGAAATATTGCCATTTGATATAAAGTCCCTGAAGTACTAAAGAGCAGCTGTGTCAGTGAAAACTCTTGGAAAGCTGGATTTCATTTCATTTCATTTCTTTAAAAAAGGCTTTTAACTTATATTGTAGAAAAGTATTTCAAGAAATGGTTAAAAGTTAAAAGTTGACAGCTAAAAAATTAGCTAGGCCGTTTTTCAAAAAGAAATGTTTAAACTAGGGAATTAATTAGATAATTTCCATGAGTGCTTTCATTTGTGATGTCTTGTGGACATATGTGATCTGATGGACATATAAAAACATGTCTAGGTGAGTTTCCCTATTAATTCCAATTGACTGGTCAGCTCAATGTTATTTTTCTTTGCAAACATTTAGCTGTCTTCTCTAAATGAACAAGGAAAGCCACAAAGGTCCCTAGATCAAGGCACACATAAATAAAGGTTATTGTAAGGTTAATTGTATTTCTAGTTCTCAGAAAGCATATATAACTCCAAGTAGTTGTGTTATTTGGTCAGCTTTTAAAGGCACAAAGTAAACATCATTAAGCA